ATTTACCTTAAATGAACAAACTTTTGTTAACATGCCAGTATGAACTCAAATTGGTAGCGAGCTTCTGGTTAAATAAAGGTGCTATATTAAAAGCTAGATTTGTCAAGCAAAGAGTGTAAATTAGAGTTGAGACACCGGCCACTGACACTCTTTCCTTGACAAACAGACGATTTCGAAAGGTCGAACAATAAGTTTTCAATTCCTGTTTGTGTTAATTCCAAAGTGATGAATCCCATTCCAATTATAAGGTGTTTTATTGTTTCTGAAATTTGGTTCAATAGGTATATTGACATTCCTCATATAATCAATATATTTCTAGATAAGCTTCTGTAACGATCAGTTCACGCGTTATTCCTTTGCCTCTTGACAATGTTCTCACGTTATTCGAAGCAGGAGAAGCTTTAAAATGACACTGATCGCAATGCGTTCACAGCCCTATGATTGCAAGTTTTCTCCCGAGAGTTTAGACCTATATAGGACTTGCAACAGAATTGTTATTATAATAAAAAGGTGATCACTGGTCTAGACACAATCTTTATAAACAACACTTAAAACAGTCTGTGTAATGAAATTAGTATTTTATTTGAAGCATATTGAGACATGAATGATAACACGATATACATGAACATAGCATCACAGTGTATTCCCTTCTCTAAAACATGGATTTCGTACAAGTCAGACAATTATAGGGGAAGAAAACGTTACAATACAAGAACAATGAATATCAACATTGAGTTGGTGATATTACCAACCATAGGGAGCTACTGCGGATTAGTGACAGAGGAAATCCTAGTATACGGGTCATACATCTAATTGAATTATAAGTACTTAAATATATATATACGTGATAGTGTAACAACTGTAACTAAAGGCACTTCATGTGATGCTTTCCCATACATATCAATTATTTGATGATATATTTAGGTAATAATGTATTCGTTGATATATCAACTCAAATGAAGATTAATAATCTGAGAAAACATAAAACTAGTGATAAAATGAGGTGTAAGATGGAATGTATACTTTACATTGTAATCTACACTATCAGTCTACATGTGACACTACCAAACTGACCATGTGACACTACCAAACTGATCATGTGACACTACCAAACTGATCATGTGCCACTGTCAAACTGATCATGTGATATCCAAAGAGAAGCACTATCAAACAGAAAACGTGACCTTTCAAACAGATCATGTGATACAAATAGATCATAAACTGATCATGTGATATCCAAAATGAAGCACGTTCAAACAGAAAATGTGACCTATCCAACAATTGTATTTCAATATTAAACAAGACGTGATAATATCAAACAGATCATGTGACACAAAATATCATTGATACAAACAAATCATGTGATACAAACAAATCATGTGATACAAACAGATCATGTGATACAAACAAATCATGTGACACATACAGATCATGTGACACTATTCAAACAAGTAACGTTATCAAACAAATATTCGTCAGACGAAATATTCTAGGTTTGAAATCTTGATGAAAACTGCATCTCTTTGTTTCAATATCTGGGCCCGCTTTTAATGAGAAAGGTTTATGAATACGGACCCTGTTCTTGCTTCATGTTTTGACAATGAAAAAATGGTATTGAAATTTAGCGACGTTATATAATAATATTGATGCAATTTTTTTCAAATTTGAATACATTTCTTTAATTATGAAAATTATCGAACAACTGAAATGAAAGCAGACAATCTTTCCACTTTGAACAAAGAGCATTGAACAATCTCATCGAAGTTAATACACCACACATTAATTGCACCAGTGCAATGCAATATGGGTATGCAGAGTGAGTACAATCACATTGTAACTGTGTTTACAGTACTTCTGCTATCGCGCATTGATCGCCATACACAGGTGACACTAGTTTGTTCGTCCTTTTCCCCTCGTTATAGTTAATCATACGGCATGGCCATTACTTAATTCCTTCAGTGCCCTCAACAGACGCTAACAGTCATTAGTGATCGAGACTTTCCAAGATGTCTTTCTCATTACATGAATAACGTTTCTCACACAGCTTACAATTCGCAAAATAACTTGTTCCGAAACCCTGTAATTTAGGACATTTAAATTATGTAAGCACGAAAATAGTTCGACCATTTTGCATTGTTCTCAAATCTGTTAACATTCCGTTTATACCTGACCTTACAGCAACATGGAGTGGTTATTTTGGTGAACGGTTTATACAGCATATGACTACGAGTTATATATCACACGACTACGGATTATATATCACATGACTACAAATGGATATTAAAAACACATCTAGCATTGCACACTCTAGAAGTCTAGATACTGAATGATGACTGAAGTCTCAGTATAATCTTGTGATCACGAACACAAGGGTACACAGACATATAAGAGATACAAATTTCCGTGATCACAGTAAGAATGTGATTCTCTAAATAGTTTGTTAATGACCATAGATCTAAACGTAACTAATTTGTTGAAAAATGTTCTCAAAAGTTATAAATATCAGTAGCATTTTTTCTATTGTCTAAAGAGAATAAAAGATGTATAACATCACAGTACATGAATTTTTATTTTTAAATCTCAGTATGTCATTGATGAAAATGAAAATATTAATTTGGCTCTGAAAAATAAAAAACCATGAGCCAGACATCAGTGTTTGTGCTTTCAGAGCTTCACTGATACACCAGTGGAGCCTCATTACTTCAGCCCTACTACTAGAGGACCACAACATCAAACTCCAAAAACTGTGAATCACTTAACCTGTATTTACACATATATCACACAGTATTACATGTACCTTCATATAACCATGTAACATCCCAACACTATATATACAGTATATACATGTACATATTCTGTTAATTTTAAAAGTACATCACTATCGGATGTTTGGGCAGTTCAGTTGAAGAGAGCTTTCTTTTGTACTAGGTATCAAATTTAAGCAAAGTCAACAGTGAGAGAGAAAATTGTGTATTAATCCACATACAATGTTATTCAAAATGTTTTATCAAGAACACAATAACATATTCCTATGACTGCAACAACAATTGATTATTTCATAAGGTCGGTTTTCCACAATGAAAACACAACTAATTCAATTAGAACTGGAAGTACATATCTTTTACATAATAAGATTAGTAATCTAGGTAAACATGTTGGCCTATACACTTTCGACAGGGCTTTCATTTGACACATTTTGTAATTTCAGAACTCAAACTGATTTTTTCCTGGATTTTGGAGAGTCCAAATGTATGTTAACTCATTCACCCCTGAGGACACCTTTGAACTCTTCCAATTCAAAGGTTTGAATAGTTCATTATGAAATTTCAGGGGTGAATGAGTTAAAGAGATCTGTCCTTCAAAACCGATTAGTTAAATCTCATTTCCGGGAGTCAAAAGAACACTCTCAAGAAGGGTCTACTGAAAGCCCTCTTTTGACTTCAGAATACTGGAAAATTTGAACATACCAGAGATTTTATTCTGAGATTGAAATCCATATTCAATGTCCCTCTTTTTCTCATGTTGATATTATACCACAAATTGACAAAATTTAAAAATCTGATTATTTTAAATCTCCTTATTTTTGTTTGAATTCAAAAGGACTTTACAAGGAGACTTATTTTTAGTTTACCAATAGTTATTTCATAAATGTTTGTTATATATTTAAAAAATACAGTCTTTTAAATCATGGAATCAGGTTTTCACACATACAATTTGTATATATATTTTACAGGTCTACTTCGTGTTCCATACACACAAAAATAAAGGACAAGGAAATTCGTTCTAAAGACTGCGTATTTCATACAGTCATTACCACTTTTCCATAGACTTTGAGCTCATAACACTCATCAATATTGGAATTTTTCATCTTTATATAAGTTTCATATCAATCTGGCAGTTTTTTGTTTTTAATCTGTATTTAATTGTCAAAAATATCTATTTTGTCTTTTCATGCAAAGAATTTGTCAATAATAATATAAAAATACGCTAGAAAAAATCGGACGGATTTTCTTTGCATAATTAAGCAGGTATATCTGTGTCATAGTTACTGATATGATGCAACAATATAAAAGAAGGTGTAGGCCTATACATACTGTCTGGTACGTATACATCAGAAGTACGTAAAACTGTACAGAGCCTATCGCTAGCGTGTAATCAAATGTATAGCAAGATGCTTATAATTATCAATAAGCTGACCTATTACAGTAGACGGTTCATCATGTTGAGATGTATGTGCCTTATATTACATACCTAGTGAATCTTACTAACAAGAGACATCACCACTTTTATTTCATATCTGGTAAAGCTTACTCTAGTACAAGAGACCAATGGGCCTTAACGATCACCTGAGTTATGTAAATCTTCAAAGTATCAAACTGTCATCTCATGGTTATAATTTCAATCAAGTTTATAATATTTCCAATTGAAAATGAACAAAATACACCCAAAAGTATCAATTTCTTATACAAACTGTAGTAAACTAAACCCCCTGCAAAGGGGCAAAAGTAGAGCCTGGGGGTCATGAAAGACCCCTCCATCTATGAAGATTATTTGTTTCCAGCATATCTGAATCTGGAGAAGAGTTCCAAGATGGCCAACGCCCAAACTGTCATAGAATCAAACTGTCATTTCGAAGTTATAATGTCTCTCAAGTTTCAATGATTTCCAATTGGAAATGAACCAAATATAACCAAAAGTATCATTTTTCTATATTACTATAGTAAACTTTACCCCATCCCCACGAGATAAAGCGCTGTAAGACCCTTCTATCTATGTAGATTACTTGTTTCCAGCATATCTTGGTCAGGATAAGATTTTTTAATTTAAGCCAATTTGACCCCTTTTAGCCCAGCCCCTCAGCCCTTTAGGACGGGCCTTGGCTCAAACTGTCAAAGTATCAAACCGTCCTTTCATAGTTTTAATGTTTGTCAAGTTTGAATAATTTCCAATTGAAATTGAACCAAATATACCCAAAAGTATCATTTTCCTATATAAACTATAGTAAACTTCGCCCCCTCCCCAGGGGCAAACATGGAGTCTGGGGGTCATGAAATTCACAATTTTGATAAAGCACCTAAAGACCCTTCCTTCTTTGACAAATATTGGTTTCCAGCCTATTTCAGTCTGGAGAAGATGACTGTTGAAATTTCTGGCTATATGACCCCATTTTGGCTCCGCCCCTCAGACCCTGGGGATGAAACAGGGTTAGAAATGTCAAAGTATCAAACTGTCATCTCAAGGTTATAATGTAAATCAAGTTTTAATGTTCCCTAAAGTTGCATTTTCCTATAATTTCACCCCCTCCCCAGTGGCAAACGTGAAGCTCGAGGGTCATGAAATTCACAATTTTGATAAAGTACTTCAAGACCCTTCCACCAATGAAGAGTATTGGTTTCCAGCATATTTGGGTCTGGAGAAGAAGATTTAAAAAATTTAAGCCAATTTGACCACTTTTAGCCCCACCCCTCAGAGCCCCTGGGGGTGGGAACCATTCAATTCACAATTTTGGTGCAAATTTGACCAAAGAAGGTTCCTGCTAAATTTTATTGAAATCGAATCAGCGGTTTCTGAGAAGAAGTAAAAAATGTGAATTGTTTCCGGACGCACGACGGACAAAAGGCGATTAGAATAGGTCACTTGAGACTTCGTCTCAGGCATCCTAAAAATAGCCAATCTTATTGAAAATGCAAGTTTAGTTATACCATGTCACGCAATATAAAGTTTCAAATACATATCATGTACACTGTACTTGCAAGTGTGATATACAAAAAGTTGAGCATCTTTATAAAGGTAACAGATCTTGATCTTCAATGTCATTGAAAGGGCAGAATAGACAGTGATACTAACATAAACTATGTACATAATTACAGAATCACACAATAATAATATTAATCTCTTACATTACTATATACATACAAACATATGCATTGCATGTTTCTTTAAAGCCACATCAACATTTGTATACCACATTTGTACATGTATGTGATTCAGATACCAAAAAAGATCTAAAAGATATCTAAAATATTGCTTTCCTCTAATTAGTGGAGTGATGGTTTCTATATACAGTGGGAATACACACAATCAGGCGTGAAGCTTGAGGCTATAGTACCCTAAACATACAAATGGTGTAATAAAAAAACACGGAAAGAAAAAACTCACTTCTGTTCAAATCTTTGTATGAATCTGTTATACAGATTTGTTATCTAAATACACCTTTAAATTGTTATAATGAGATTTGTTATTTTAACAATCGTCACTACTTCTTAAAATAACAAGTTGATAAAAACAACACAGGAAGGGGAAGTACATTATAACCTTATCCAACAATCATTAGTTACATAAAGTATGTTTACCCGCGGTCAAAAGTTACACATTTCACCTACGGTCAAAAGTTCCACATTTCCACATAACCTATATAAGATACCCTCTATTATTACTCATTACGTAACACAGTAATATAATTCTAATTAGCCTACCTTTACTAGTGTTTAGCTAGAAATAAGTTAAACAATTCAATTTCAATTAATCATGAACAATCATTGTGTCGTTTAGATTGATTAGTTTTGTACTTTGCACCGGTTTATTCATACCAATCACCAAGAACAAAGGAGCAGTTCATGACTGTGTGAATCTCAGACAGAACCAGGACACCTCCTAGTTCACAACTGTGTGAATCTCAGACAGAACCAGGACACCTCCTAGTTCACGACTGTGTGAATCTCAGACAGAACAAGGACACCTCCTAATTCACGACTGTGTGAATCTCAGACAGGACCAGGACACCCCCTAGTTCACGACTGTGTGAATCTCAGACAGAACCAGGACACCTCCTAATTCACGACTGTGTGAATCTCAGACAGATCCAGGACACCTCCTAGTTCACGACTGTGTGAATCTCAGACAGAACCAGGACACCCCCTAGTTCACGACTGTGTAAATCTCAGACAGAACCAGGACACCTCCTAATTCACGACTGTGTGAATCTCAGACAGAACCAGGGCACCTCCTAGTTCACGACTGTGTGAATCTCAGACAGAACAAGGACACCTCCTAGTTCACGACTGTGTGAATCTCAGACAGGACCAGGACACCTCCTAGTTCACGACTGTGTGAATCTCAGACAGAACCAGGGCACCTCCTATCTATCTATGGCATTGATAAGACTAGAACAACAAATATTTCATAATATTACATGGCACTTAAGTTACAAAAAAAACGACTTCAACAAGTTATACATCATACAAGCATTGTGAAGTTTACATTATATATTCCTTAATTTTAAATCATTCACCCCTGGAATTTTATAATGAACTATTCCAACCTTTGAATTGGAAGAGTTCAAATGAGTCTTCTGGGGTGAATGAGTTAAATACACTCCCTGAAGCTAACATTATGAAGTTTGCATTATATATTCCTTATTCTTCAATACACTCCCTGAAGCTTATTAGGTTCTGATTATCATCAATAAAGTACTATTGTCAGTAAGATAGAAAACATTACGATTCTTTTACTGCATCAAAGGCTTCTAAACGTTCCAGTATAAATATCACCTGTGATATTTCAGTACATCCAGTCATTAGCTCTTGTTACTAGGGACAAATTTACTTCAGCAAAATATGAAATATGTCGCTTTAATAATGGTTATAATTGATGTAGATTTTTTGAAGACATTTTTCCAAGGTACGATTTAAACATTGTAATTATATATATTGTATATCTTTGTCAAATATTTTACACAAAGTGTTCATTTTGTCAGATCTACGTACTATATACAGCAGCGACCATTTCTAGTATGCAGTGGATAAAATAAAAACATCTTATTGAGGACTTGGAGCTACCAAGGAACGAATCATTTGATCAAAGGCCATCCAGTACATTACAATGTTTATAGCTTTCAATCTGTACCATGGAATAATTAGTTTTCAGGCATTGTTTTTTTTAAAGAAAATAACATTATATTTATTATTATTTACACTATTTAACTTTTTCTCAGTAACATAAAAATATCAAATGGAGAATAGCAGCAGCACCTGTGATTATTAGATTATAGTAATGGTCACCACATTAATTACGTTGACCAGTAATACATAAAACACTTTAAACACCGATTCAATAATCGCTATCCTTATTATACAGTAAATATATCAAATGAAAATATTGAAAAATATCATTTACATCGAAATTGCAGTTGAAGACCTCTGAAACAATACCTACGATCACAAATCTAGATCTGTACGCTTACACTGATAAATCGGCAGTAAAATCTCAAATCTAATAGTCCTTGTTTAATAGTCATCTTGCTTACTGCCAACCTTTCCATGCTCCCTTCTTTCCTTTTTTCTGAATTAACTATTTTTTATGTCAGCTACATTGATGACCAAATCCCTTTATAACACTGATGGCCACAATTTTTCACTTTACTGGAACACCGGGAAATTTCAAATGACTAAAGTTTTGACCTTCTTTATCCTTAGAATAAAATTTCACGACTTTAAAAAGTTACTTCCAAAGAAAAGTATGTTAGAAATATAATATTATGATAAATATTTACATATACGATCCAAAACTTGTGGAGCTGGAATTCTTGCCAATTGCAAATGGCTTTGTATCCAACATTTCAATGCATAAAAAATCAGTTGGGTCAAGCCTTCACAGGTTGAATAGGGCGAGATATAGTGAAACAAATGTGCTCTAGGATGACCCTTCCATTGGCCCATTGACAAAGCGCTATCCGAAAAAGAATCATACATCTCATTTATATTGAATTTCATGGCAGTGCTAATATTACGGTAGGATGCAATGAATGATATCCGCCAATCATCAAATTGTGGTACAGGGGTATATATTTATTAACAAAAATAAGTATTTAACAAGAATTATTATCTTTGGATAGATTATAGATTTTTGTAAGAAATTTCAAATTGAAATTTTAGAAATAATGAATTATATCTTTCCCTTGGCAACCAAATATTATAAAAATGTACATACCTGGTATATTAAAAACACAGCAAAGGGAGATAATCTGCTATCTGTGGGTTTATTTTAAGGAACATATATCGGCAAACCCCAATGGGAATGTTGTATACAATCATTTCAGGTTGATACATCATTGCACAACATTGTTATATGAATGTGAATAAATATATATATAAAACATGAGATCCCATCACACTAAGACATTACCACACACTTCCTAAAATGTTCCCCATGTGTCTTCCTTCTAGCTCACCCCCAGGGTTATCCTTAGGGTTGTTTTATCACAAATTACCAGTGTTATCCTTAGGGTGTTTTATCACAAATTACCATAACACTTACTACTCCAAATAAAACAGGAAAGCACATATCTGTCATACACAACAAAAACTTTATAATATTCCCTAATTTTAACAATTTCTTTTTTTAAATGGCTATCTGTGTGTCAGACAACACTGAGGAAGAAAGCCTGCACAGTACGCAACACAAATCTTTATATTAACAAATAAACACTATAGCTAAAATATTATTATATCAGATGCTTGCATTGAATACAGGTCTTCTGGAATATGTACAGTTAAGTGTACATGTATTACCTTGTACTTTAAGGTTTAAGATTAGGAGAAGAATAAGTATCAAAGAGTCTCTAGCTTGCACTTTCAAATGAAAACAGTATTGGACCGGAATCTGAATACAATTATTTCTACCTTGTGTTTTTGTAAATGTTATTAGGACAAAAAAAAAATCTTGTACTTTGGTTGGAGTATTTGGGATAAGAGTTTCAGTAACTTGTACTTTGGTTGGAGTATTTGGGATAAGAGTTTTAGTAACCTTGTACTTTGGTTGGAGTGTTTGGGATAAGAGTTTTAGTAACCTTGAACTTTGTTTGGAGTGTTTGGGACAATAGACTCCACCTTGAACTCTACTTCAGTAGTCACTCCAGCAAGTCTAGGGGTTAAGGACGAGTGTACCAAAGGACACCCAGTCTAGGAAAGCAGCATCTGTACATCCTCATCATCGTCCGGCACTCTGTCTGCCGAAAGCCTGGTGTAGGACAGGGTAAGTCGGTTGTTCTGTTTGGCCTGCCTCTTCACCCTCATGATCACTATGACGACGAGCAGGGCCAGCAGTATGGCCACTGCTGCGCTTGCAATCACACCTCCAACAAACAGCCAGTTAGTCTTCTTTGGGGACGGAGTACCAGGTGGATGGTGGTTGGTACTGTTGATTGGTAACACAGAACAGGCACTGTTCATATCTTCTTTTTTTGGCTCATCATACGTCTGGTCTGGCTTCACACAATAATCTCCCTTACAACAGCACACTTCACGCGTGTTGTTAGCACCTGTCGTGTACTGTTAAAATACAAATAAATACGAATGTTTCATCATACTGAATTACATGAAATGTTTGTTGTGTATAAACATTCAGGATGTTCGTGGTTGCTATTGAACCACGAATTTGAATGATACACGTGTCTACTGTTTGTTAATATGGGATATCCACGTAAGTTTGTACCACGAAACGATCTAAATCCAGGCTTCAAACCAGAAATGAAATTACCCCCGAACATTTCGTGTTATACAGTATCAAGGATACAAAAGTGTAAGTAGCTTATGTACAAGGTTTTATTTGACATAGCCATACTTCATGATACCTAGGTGATATATAAGCGTCTTAAAATAAAAATGTAATTGAAAGTGTTGGTAAGAAGGAAATGGCCAATCTACTTCACCTCTACCATTATACCTTACATACAGTTATACCATACTGCTTCGTGGCCAATCTTCTTCACCTCTACCATTATACCTTAAATACCTCTATCATTATACCTCACACACAGTTATAACATACTGCTTCATGGCCAATCTACATCACCTCTACCATTATACCTTAAATACCTCTATCATTATACCTCACATACAGTTATAACATACTGCTTCGTTGCCAATCTACTTCACCTCTACCATTATACCTTAAATACAGTTATAACATACTGCTTTGTGGCCAATCTACTTCACCTCTATCATTATACCTTACATACAGTTATAACATACTGCTCCGTGGCCAATCTACTTCACCTCTACCATTATACCTCACATACAGTTATAACATACTGCTTCGTGGCCAATCTATTTCACCTCTATCATTATACCTCACATACAGTTATAACATACTGCTTCGTGGCCAATCTACTTCACCTCTATCATTATACCTCACATACAGTTATAACATACTGCTTCGTGGCCAATCTACTTCACCTCTACCATTATACCTTACATACAGTTATAACATACTGCTTCGTGGCCAATCTACTTCACCTCTACCATTATACCTCACATACAGTTATAACATACTGCTTCGTGGCCAATCTACTTCACCTCTACCATTATACCTCACATACAGTTATAACATACTGCTTCGTGGCCAATCTACTTCACCTCTACCATTATACCTCACATACAGTTATAACATACTGCTTCGTGGCCAATCTACTTCACCTCTACCATTATACCTCACATACAGTTATAACATACTGCTTCGTGGCCAATCTACTTCACCTCTACCATTATACCTCACATACAGTTATAACATACTGCTTCGTGGCCAATCTACTTCACCTCTACCATTATACCTCACATACAGTTATAACATACTGCTTCGTGGCCAATCTACTTCACCTCTACCATTATACCTCACATACAGTTATAACATACTGCTTCGTGGCCAATCTACTTCACCTCTACCATTATACCTCACATACAGTTATAACATACTGCTTCGTGGCCAATCTACTTCACCTCTACCATTATACCTCACATACAGTTATAACATACTGCTTCGTGGCCAATCTACTTCACCTCTACCATTATACCTCACATACAGTTATAACATACTGCTTCGTGGCCAATCTACTTCACCTCTACCATTATACCTCACATACAGTTATAACATACTGCTTCGTGGCCAATCTACTTCACCTCTACCATTATACCTCACATACAGTTATAACATACTGCTTCGTGGCCAATCTACTTCACCTCTACCATTATACCTCACATACAGTTATAACATACTGCTTCGTGGCCAATCTACTTCGCCTCTATCATTATACCTTACATACAGTTATAACATACTGCTTCGTGGCCAATGTACTTCGCCTCTACCATTATACCTTACATACAGTTATAACATACTGCTTCGTGGCCAATGTACTTCGCCTCTACCATTATACCTTACATACAGTTATAACATACTGCTCCGTGGCCAATCTACTTCACCTCTACCATTATACCTTAAATACAGTTATAACATACTGCTTCGTGGCCAATCTCCTTCACCTCTACCATTATACCTTACATACAGTTATAACATACTGCTTCGTGACCAATCTACTTCGCCTCTACCATTATACCTTACATACAGTTATAACATACTGCTACGTGGCCAATCTACTTCACCTCTACCATTATACCTTAAATACAGTTATAACATACTGCTTCGTGGCCAATCTCCTTCACCTCTACCATTATACCTTACATACAGTTATAACATACTGCTACGTGGCCAATCTACTTCACCTCTACCATTATACCCTACATACAGTTATAACATACTGCTTCGTGGCCAATCTCCTTCACCTCTACCATTATACCTTACATACAGTTATAACATACTGCTTCGTGGCCAATCTACTTCACCTCTACCATTATACCTCACATAGTTATAACATACTGCAAAGCATCAATTTGTGAAGTGGGTCTAATTTGTCACCATTCTGCATGTCATATATTTCCATGATACACAGGTGCAGTGGAATTTTTTTTTTTCATTCGTAAAAATTGACGAAAAACAAAACACTAAAAATTATTATATATCCTGCTGAATAGGATTTTTTTATTTCCACAAATCTGAAATATTGAACAAATTAAAAAGTTAAATCTGCAGGTTGAGTCAGGAATTCCTTATTTTTCTAGTCGATCATGATTTTATTGTGTATACATTTTGAGAGTCATGTGTGGTACCACTATCTCTGAGATGTGGTTATTGACATTTTTAACACCATCGCTGTAATTATGTGACGGTGTATTGTATAAATCATTTTTACAGGCTGACTTTGACTCTCTGTTGTGGTTAACTTACGTTTTTACAAACTGGTTCTGACTGTGTGATGTTGTATTTGTTGATATTTTTGACACCATCGCTGTAATTATGTGACAGTGTATTGTATAAATCATTTTTACAGGCTGACTTTGACTCTCTGTTGTGGTTAACTTACGTTTTTACAGACTGGTTCCGACTCGTTGATGTTGGCACACTTGTTTTCAATGTCACAGTTATACATCTGAGACATGATGCCACTCTTCAGGTACAGCGTATCCTTTACACACCTCATGTCTTCAGTGTGGCACGCTGTCTTACAGCCTGAAAGTATAAATCAGTCAAGGATGGATTCATTAGTAAAGGGTCTGGTCTATTTTTTTTCTTTACTGCAGTCCTTCTCTCTGAGTCGCTGAGATTTGAAGCATCTCTTGAGCAAAACACACGATTTGTTTGTCGTAAACACTGCTGTCATGTGTCCCAGTTTACCCAATAAACATTGCTCATTAACTTTGTTCAAATAGTATAAGAAATAACTTATGTATTAATGTTCTCAATACATCTCCGTCCTCGGGTGACATAACGACTCTCAGGTGGTCAAATCGTCATGTCACCCCATAATGAGGGCATCAATTGTATAATAATCAATGACCTCTATAAGTTAAGTTCTTTGTAAATATCTATGTTGCTATATTGATAAACTACAACATAGGCTCTGACCTCGTAACTTCATGTCACTGCCCTCCATGGTCAGTTGGTAGCAGTGGGAGTTGTTGGAGGTAGGGGTTGCCACAGGGGTCGACACAGGGAGCTGTACCAGGCTGTTACAGTTATTGCCCTCACAACACAACAGTAACACATCACTGCCATTGATAGTAGCCTGAAAATTAACATTTAAAATTTTAGAGTTGAAAATGTTTAACTTTTTATTCAAATATAAAAAAATTAAGGAAATATTCTAATTTCCATGTTGTAAATTGGCCTTAATTGAAAAAATCCACCAAATTATCAAAGCATTTTGATTCAATTAGCTAATTTTTGTTTTTGAAAACTACATCAAATAAAAAAATCAAGCTTTGTAAAATATTTCAGACTTTAAAAAAACATTAATAGTTTTTAATATCAGAATTTCATTACCCGGTAATTCCATTATTTAAGGATTAACTTGAATATATTTTTCATGTTATGGAGATTATAACACAAAAAAACGGAGTGTACTCTAAATAAACCGCGAAGTGGTTTATGATGAGAGTACACTCCGGTTTTTTGTGTTATAGCTCCATAACATGAAAAATATATTCAAGTTAATCCTGATAATTTAATCTACTATACACAATCCCTGTGGAAATCCACTTTTATTGATGGACTCTTTTCTCTTAGAAATTATTGCGCCGCTGTATCACTCAATCAAAAGCGACGTTACAAATGGCGACGTCATTTTCTTACGTTATGGGATGATAACATAAATGTTTAAGCCAATGGAAATGCTTGTTACAAGCAAGATTAAATTAAACAAGGGTAACAACAAGGGATAACAACAAGGGTTACAACAAGGGGTTACAACAAGGGGTAACAACAAGGGGTAACAACAAGGGATAACAACAAGGGGTAATAACAAGGGGTTACAACAGGGGGTTACAACAAGGGGTTACAACAAGGGGTTACAACAAGGGTAACAACAAGGGGTTACAACAAGGGTAATAACAAGGGGTTACAACAAGGGATAACAACAAGGGGTTACAACAAGGGTTACAACAAGGGGTTACAACAAGGGGTTACCACAAGGGTAACAACAAGGGGTTACAACAAGGGTAATAACAAGGGGTTACAACAAGGGATAACAACAAGGGTAACAACAAGGGTAACAACAAGGGATAACAACAAGGGGTTACAACAAGGGTTACAACAAGGGGTTACAACAAGGGGTAACAACAAGGGTAACAACAAGGGGTAACAACAAGGGTAACAACAAGGGGTAACAACAAGGGGTTACAACAAGGGGTTACAACAAGGGTAACAACAAGGGTAACAACAAGGGGTTACAACAAGGGGTAACATCAAGGGTAACAACAAGGGGTAACATCAAGGGTAACAACAAGGGTAACAACAAGGGGTTACAACAAGGGGTAACAACAAAGGGTTACAACAAGGGGTTACAACAAGGGTAACAACAAGGGTAACAACAAGGGGTAACAACAAGGGGTAACATCAAGGGTAACAACAAGGGTAACAACAAGGGATAACAACAAGGGGTTACAACAAGGGGTTACAACAAGGGGTTACAACAAGGGGTAACATCAAGGGTAACAACAAGGGTAACAACAAGGGATAACAACAAGGAGTTAAAACAAGGGGTTACAACAAGGGTAACAAAAAGGGTAACAACAAGGACTAACAACAAGAGGTTACAACAAGGGGTTAGAACAAGGGTAACAAAAAGGGTAACAACAAGGGGGTACAACAAGGGTAAAAACAAAGGGTTACAACAAGGAGATTCAACAAGGGGTAACACCAAGGGGTTACAACATGGGTAACAACAAGGGTTACAACAAGGGATAACAAGAAGGAGTTAAAACAAGGGTAACAACAGGGGTAACAACAAGGGGTTACGACAAGGGATAACAACAAGGAGTAAAAACAAGGGGTTACAACAAGGGTAACAACAAAGGGTTACAACAAGGGGATTCAACAAGGGGTAACAACAAGGGTAACAATAAGGGGTAACAACAAGGGTAACAACAAGGGGTTACAACAAGGGTAACAACAAGGGGTTACAACAAGGGGTTACAACAAGGGTAACAACAAGGGTAACAACAAGGGGTTACAACAAGGGTAACAACAAAGGGTTACAACAAGGGGATTCAACAAGGGGTAACAACAAGGGTAACAATAAGGGGTAACAACAAGGGTAACAACAAGGGGTTACAACAAGGGTAACAACAAGGGTAACAACAAGGGGTTACAACAAGGGTAATAACAAGGGGTTACAACAAGGGATAACAACAAGGGGTTACAACAAGGGGTAACAACAAGGGGTTACAACATGGGTAACAACAAGGGTAACAACAAGGGGTTACAACAAGGGATAACAACAAGGGTAACAACAAGGGATTACAACAAGGGGAAACAACAAGGGATAACAACAAGGGTAACAACAAGGAGTAACAACAAGGGGTTACAACAAGGGGTTACAACAAGGGTAACAAAAAGGGTAACAACAAGGGATAACAACAAGGGGTTACAACAAGGGGGAACAACAAGGGGTTACAACATGGGTAACAACAAGGGGAACAACAAGGGGTTACAACAAGGGATAACAACAAGGGTAACAACAAGGAGTAACAACAAGGGGTTACAACAAGGGGTTACAACAAGGGTAACAACAAGGGGAACAACAAGGGGTTACAACAAGGGATAACAACAAGGGTAACAACAAGGGTAACAACAAGGGATAACAACAAGGGATAACAACAAGGGTAACAACAAGGGGTAACAACAAGGGGTTACAACAAGGGATAACAACAAGGGGTAACAACAAGGGGTTACAACAAGGGTAACAACAAGGGTAACAACAAGGGGTAACAACAAGGGATAACAACAAGGGTTACAACAAGGGTAACAACAAGGGGTAACAACAAGGGGTAACAACAAGGGGTAACAACAAGGGGAAACAACAAGAGGTTACAACAAGGGGTTACAACAAGGGTAACAACAAGGGGTAACATCAAGGGTAACAACAAGGGTAACAACACGGGGTAATAACAAGGGGTTACAACAAGGGGAACAACAAGGGGTAACAACAAGGGGTTACAACAAGGGGTTACAACAAGGGGTAACAACAAGGGTAACAACAAGGGTAACAACAAGGGGTAATAACAAGGGGTTACAACAAGGGGTTACAACAAGGGGTTACAACAAGGGGTAATAACAAGGGGTTACAACAAGGGGTAATAACAAGGGGTAATAACAAGGGGTAACAACAAGGGTAACAACAAGGGTAACATCAAGGGTCACAACAAGGGGTTACAACAAGGGGTAATAACAAGGGGTAACAACAAGGGGTAACAAAAAGGGATTACAACAAGGGGTAATAACAGCTGTGGGAACTGTATACATGTAGCTCAAGGTCTGATCAATTTTATTTTCATTTTGAAATTATGTTCTTTATAACATTAAGGTCCCAATGTAAGCAATACAGCAATCACTGCACTATTTTAACATTGGGTAGCTTGAGTCTGCACACAACGGACTGCTGTAGTAGAAACATCTTACCCGCACACTTTTATTTAGCGTCCTGTTATCACAGACTCCATCAAAATCACACGATCGCCAGGTATCCACCAAAGTCCCCATGATGTTTTGATGATAACGTAGTGTTGTATCATTGGTGTATGTTAGGCATCGCATGACTGTTGTACTTGGAGCGGGTGTCGTTGTGTTTCCTGTGGTATTATTCACTGTGTCCTCCGTGATGTTTGTCGAACTGGACATCATGTAAGCAGGGTGGGATTGCCCAGTTAAACATGACTGATTCGTGCCTAGAGATGTGTCTGAGTTATGCCAGCAGTAGACATCCCCCGTAGCTTTGGGTTTGTCAGTTACACTGTCACTGTAAATCAATCAAAAAAGAACAATCATGGACAGAACTCAATGAGCCCAAACATACAATCTTCTAAGAAAATTGCTTGGGCTTTTTATACATGTATAACATATTTCCAAGCATATCTTGAATATGATGGGGCGACAGATAAATAAATAGGAATTTTGAAAACATAAATAGACAAATAAATCAATACAAGCGTATTTGTAAAAGTTAACATGAATGATGTTATACATATTCCCTTAAATTGTTCCTACCCGGTATTCTTACACGAAATTGCCATATTATGGACAATATCCCTTGCCTTTTTCGACATCTCAAAACAATTTAAATATGGCACTATGACTATATTCATGTATTTTGTAATACATGTATGCATGAATTTATTCTTTCACATTTTCAATACATCTGTCAAAAACTTATTTGCACAAATAAAATAATTTGCATCTATTCGTTACATTTTGCTAATATTATATTGGCACTGTTAAGGGCCAGAGAGGCCTGAGTATGATCATTTCTTTTCTTTATCAAAATTGAGATTTAATCAGTGTTCCAAAAAATGGCACTCTATTTTCGCTAACCAGGCCCCCCCCCCCCCCCCCCCCCCCCCCCCCCCCCCCNAAAACGTTGCCATACAGTGCTATAATAAATATAAGATATTTTGAGTGGTAGATGTTAACAATTATATCAGAATATAAGAATGAAGGTAAATGAATTCTAGCTACATATTTAATTTCTAACTATATCAATTATGTTTCTGATTTATTCTGAAATTTAGATATGACCAAACTTAAACATTTGTACAACTTCTTGACACGGCAACATGGAAGAAATGCGAAAAGTCTTTTTTGACACTTTAGAGAAAACAAATAATCTGAAATAAAATAGATTGTCAACATTCCTTAGGACATTCTTAACCGGGAAGGGAAGTGACAAAATTCAGGATAGGCTTTGAATTGTGACTAAACCTTATGATACCTTTTTAAAGATGATAGCTGTTTTGTGTTAATAAATTATTTCTGTGAATAAAATTCCCATCCAAGAGTCACTCTGAAGTACCATCCTACTGAAACGTCAACCTGGACATGGTAGCATGCAAAAATATGACACTTTACCTGGTAACATTATTCTGACAACCAGAGTAGTGGCATGGCCTTAAGGGAGACAACGCCAAACAAAGTAAAACAGTAGGGACACATTGTAGGACAAAAAAGAGGATAGAGATCTCAAGTGTTACAAAAGGTACAGATCAATGGTGGTCTACCAGTATTCCTTAAAGATAAACCCTAGCTACAAAGTAACATTAGCCCTTTCACCACTGTAGACCATAATGGACTCATCCAGATCAATACATGGTAGAGTCTACTAAAGTTACATAGGGGTGAAAGGGTTAAGATAAACCCTAGCTACATTAGGATAAACTCTTATAGCTACATTAGACCTTCATTAGTCGCCTCAAATATTCATATTAAGTAGGGAAACAGTATTTAGGTTTATTCTTTCCCAGTAATGTATATATATTCAAAAATTTCAAATAGCTATAGTTATACCAAATAATATTTTAAGAGACTTTAATAATAACATTCATTGATAATCTGTATATATATGGAAATACATTGAATATTCTAAAAGAAATGGTGCAAAAATTGATAAATCTTCCAGCATCAGGTCAAAAAAATTCAAGCAAAATCCTGATATTTATATCTCCTACTTTCAAGGCATTAATTATATGGAGTCTACTGGAACCCCAAATGTTGACCGATTCGCCTGTTATGTGTAAGAAACGCTTTGAGAATGTTTATCGTATCATATCCAGCACTTCCCCAGACATGTGGTTTGAGCTTGGAGGTGGATATAAAGTTGGCATTCATGTAACGGAGTGATGATTTTGTTTTCGTATCCTGTAGTAATTTGTTGATACAGAACTGCAAATCAGTGCACGTAACAGTTTTCTTCAACGAGGCTTTTGTCGAGGGGTCATTTGGAACGTCCCATGTGCACGTAAGGTCATAGAACACCAAAATACTGTATGGCGAGACAAACCAGCTATGAGAGGAGCTTTCCTTAGTTGCAAATTGACGGATCACTATCTGATATAACGTCGAGGACTGGTCTGCCATTACAGATCGTAAGGTGCACACTATTCTTTGATGTAGTAAAGCCTCAAGGAGGAGACCACCTGACAGAAGATATACTGCTGCGTCTGTTGTTCTCTCTGGGAGATATTGTATGTGTTTTAACATCTTCTTGACAGATTTTGAATATCTTTGGTTTTGAGTCTAATAACGTCTAGGCCGTGCAGCAGTCTTGGAATAACGTAGCAGTTCATCATATGTACGGTGACTGATGGGTTTAAACCATTTAAAGCATTAAATCCGGACCCCATGAGAGCAAACATCGTACATCTGGCTGTTTGAATCCTGTCATCTACTTTATCAGTACCAAATTTTGAATAATTGTCCCTAGTGATACCAAGATGTGTGACCGTTTTTGATTCCGGAATTACTCATTCGTTGATAGTGCAGACAAGGTCTGTGGAGCTTGCAATTGTGTTCAAAGCCAATATGTTGGATTTTGTTTCACTGATTTGGTTGCGCTGTTTATTAGCATATAGTTCTTGTACATGTAACATCTCCTGTAGTTTTTCTGGATTATTTGAAGCAAGACACTCATCATCTGCTGTGGTTGGGGTTCCTAAATATATATTTCCGATGCGTATACCCGTTCCATGCTTTTCCAACAAGAGATTTATGGCTTTATAGGTTGTTGGCGACCATATTCTGCCTTGACGTACACCCTGAAATTCTCTGATCAGTCTAGAAATTTCGCCTTTCCAGCTGATTTGAGATGTAAGACTGCTGTACCATCCCTTCATAAAGAGCCATTGATTGGCCAACATTCCGGACTAGTACACTTTCCGTTCGAAGCAAGTCCTGTCAAACAACATCAAAGGCCTTCCGGGCATCGAGGAAGGCTAAATTTAGAGTTTGGCCAGTATCTTAAGCTTCCACCATCAGTGCTGTTATGATCTTAAGGAGACTCCTTTAGTGAAGCCGGTTTGTAATTTTGACTGTTAATGCTCAAAATGAGATCTTCTGTATATCTAAGATGACATTTCTCAGCTACTTTCCCGATCATACTGGAGATGGTGATCTTCCTATAAGCATTCGGGTCATGTAGATGTTTGCCATTCTTTTTGTAGAGTGGGTTAACCTTTCCAGTTTTACTTAGTCTGAACTAACTAACATTAGTCAATTTGATACTATTTATCATGTTGAATAAGATCATTTAATATCAATAAATAAATAAATTTGGTAAATAGAATTTGATTCTCACACTGGCATATGACAGTGTGCACTTACGGAAAAAAAATGACACTCAAAAAAACAGGATTTCAAAAAATACTTTGATTGGTCATGGTCTTATGACGAATTGAAAACTGTCAAGGAAAAACATTGCCAACTATCAAATCGAAAGCAATCGTTTAAGAAAAGTGTTATCTCAACTTATTGGAAGGTGAACATCTTAAAAAGTAAGTACAAAACGTGAAGGAAAGTTTTAGGTCAACAAAGTATGTATTGCGGGGGGGGGGGGGGGGGGGAATTATGATTGTTTAGCTGATTTAGCCTGAAATGGATCTGTAATGACAACTAGGCCTGTGAAGTCTCTGTAACCGAAAAAATGGATTTGCCTTGATACATACCTAAAAGCACAACCTAAATGTATTAATAAGATCAAAATGACTTGACGGTAAACAGAACGTTCTGCCATTTCTTCCGTTTTCAGGTTTATGTCGCTTATATCATTATCAAGAATTTTTGTTAGTAATTTTCGTATTCATTATTCATTCTTCTTATTACGAACGTAACTTTTGTGAATAATTTTGTAATAAACGTTTATCTGCATTGATTGCGAATAATGACTTAAAGGGAATGGGCCTAAATGTTTGTTATATTTATGTTTTGTCATTTGTTTTTCTTTTCGTTATTCGGAGTTGCTTCCCCTGCAGGAAGTAAATCTTTCTTTTTCCGGTCGGCCATCAACCTCCAGGTGCGCATTATAGAATCGGATAATAAAATCTCCTGTCATCCGATGTATGCTTGTTTCTTAGCATATAACTAACGGTTGAAGATATGCAGTAGATATATATGTTACTTACTTTCATCAAAGTTTTGACTTTAAAAGCCAAATAGATTAATCCATGCGCAAACATAATGAGGTCCACTGTCGAGAACGTTTCTGTTTTTTGAAAACATACCAACTTGCTGCTATATCGCATTGAATTTATTGCTAGACCTTTAGGTAAACACGCAACATATCGGCACTTCGCGTTTTATAATTTAACTACAAACATCTAAACGCTCAATTTCTGTTAATTGAACGTGACTGACATGAAATAATATATATTGAACACCGTTATTTTGTTACTAACTTCGGTCACAGGAGCCTGAAGTTCTGTCAATAATGAATAATAACAGTGTTATACAAAAAAATACCTATAATATGCTTAAAAAATAGCGTAGTCATCCTAGACTGCAAAGGAGTTTGGGTTTCTGTGGAATTTTTCAGTTTTGTGCGAGAATCTTGTTTAATGCCGGAAACTGGATTGAAGATATAACCTGTTCTAATTATGATATTTTCTAGAAGAGTGGGAAGCTCTTGATGCCAAAATATCTAGCCTCAGTACCCAATATTTTCATTTCAAACTTCTTCATAACAAGCTTGGTTTCCGCGAAGTTTCAACATCAAAAAGTCAATAAATTTGCCTATTTCTATTTTAAATAATCGTTCATGAGGTGGTTGGACCAAAACGAAGTCTCTAATTCTATCTGAAACTTGCTGAAGTTTGTCTCGAAACAGTTTCATTGATGAAATTTGTAGCATTTCATGTTTTAATTATAATTACAGGGCCCAGTATGAAGTTTAACAAGATGGTGACCTCCTCCAGGAGGAAGAACAGGAAGCGCCATTTCAATGCTCCCTCCCATGTCAGGAGGAAGATTATGAGCACTCCTCTGTCTAAGGAACTTCGGCAAAAGTACAATGTCAGAAGTATGCCTATTAGAAAGGATGATGAAGTACAGGTTGGTATTAAATAGTGACTCGCTCTCTGAAAAAGTGGAATACAATTTTTCGTAAACGAACACAATCATGCATGTATCACGGAGATCCAATGTCCTACGGGCAGTGGTCTGTCTAGTACACGGGTACAGGAATCGAATCTCTGAATTTATGCAAAGTTTTACCGTTTCTGAAGTTTTAGGATGAACAATTTAACTAATTACTTGTCCAAAATGTGGGACATACGTCATGTGCAAGTGCAAAATATTACTTTTAGCACATCGAGAGTTGTCGACCACAGGTGCTCGGGTTCTGGAGTATATTTGATATATAATCCCTTTATGATTTATTAGTATAAGGGGGTGCGATTATATATCACATATATTCCAGAACCTGAGCACCTGTGTTGTTGACCTGGGCATTGCAAGGAAGTTATGATATATATATAGTTATTTATTTCCGGACAACAAATTGTAACCGGTTAGGGGATATGATTGAAAACCCAAGATTATAAAATAAAGCAGAAGACACCAACTCAGTTTTAAGATAAGTGAAATGTTGTTTAGCCCATTACACTTTAAGAAAATTTCAACAGATTTGTAGGAACTGACCCATTAAATTAGTTGTAAAACTTGAAAAAGTCTGATAGTGTGACGTAACCTGTGATTCCTTATCATCATTTTACTAATCCTATCAAAAATTCTGGGGAAATTATTTTTTTCTGTATCACACATCCGCATATCAAATGTTAAAACTAACAATTCCATAGATCTTTTGATTGATTTTAAACAGGTTTCAGTAAAATTAGGAAATTCAACGGTGAAAATTTGAATTAATTAAACAGGAAAATCTTTGGTAAAACTGAAATGTGAAGAATTGTCAAATGATGTTTTGCACACTGCATCATTAAATAGATATGTGTGCAAGAATCTTAAAAAAATAGTATTTTTAAATATATGGGAAAAGAGAGTAAAGTATGTATTTGAAGATTTATAAGAAAAATCAGGGTTTGAAACTAGCACTAGTCCTCTAGTCCATGACTAGTAAATTTCAAGGACTAGCGAATCAATTGCCCTAATTGGTCCTTTATTAAAATGATATATAAGTTGCTATAATAATATCACTTGAAAGCCGCAGATAGAAAATAAGAAGCATTTCTTTTGGTGTCCCAAACTGCTAAAAATACATATATATTGTGTTATAATTGTTAAAATGTTCCTAAAGCTTCACCATGTCCCTTGACAGTAGTTATAATATGTCCCTACACCGCCAATAACTACTTTTTAGGCTTTCATGCCTCGGAAAAGTTGCATTGATATAGGACTAGCAAATAATCTATCTGACAAGTTTCATGGACTACCAAGCAAAGAACAGTTTGTATCATTGGTTTGTGTTGTGTTTTGTTCTAGGTTGTCCGCGGCAATCACAAAAGCCAACAGATAGGCAAGATTGTCCAGGTGTACAGAAAGAAATTTGTTGTGCACATTGAACGAATCCAGCGGGAGAAGGCCAATGGTGCCTCTGTCCATGTCGGAATCCACCCTTCAAAGGTACTGTCCAGCTATCAACAGTCAAACTACAGACAAGACCCTTACAAACGTGATCATAGATTTTCTGAATATCTATGACCATTCTGCAACAAAGGGGAGATAAATGACTTTGATTCTGGGAATCTGGTCCATCAATGACTTGATTAACTTACCGCTCAAAGTACAATATAGAATCGTAAAATTTGTAGTCTTCGTTGTGAAAAAGTATAATTCTCTTCCACAGTTAACAGCCGTTGCTTATCATTACACTTGCTATGTAATGTTCCGATATAAATATATCCCCATTCAAACTTTTTACGGCCCAATTCCTAATTAAAACTAAGCCCTCTTTGCAATTTTTCTAGATGAATTCCCAATTTATCCAAGTTATACAAACCCTTTCTGGTATTGAAATATGTGTAACAAAGAATATGAATTTCACCACAACAACATTTGAAATTAATTAATTGTCATAGTTTTGAATTCCAATGTTTTTCTTTATTTGAACTAAGAATATGTTTCTCACTTTACCATGATAATCATGGTTGTATGAATATTCTTGAGTGTCAAGTACAGTTTTGTTGATTACATCAACTTAATACTTCATGCACAAAGTATCTCTAAATACCCTTCCAAATATAGTCTTGGATTTACTCTATCTATGACCATTCTGCAACTAAGGGGAGATAAATGACTTTGATTCTGGGAGTCTGGTCCATCAATGACCTGATTAACTTACCGCTCAAAGTACAATATAGAATTGTAAAATTTCAAAACTTCATAATGAAAATATTCAATTACTTGCACATAAAAACAAGAATCAGCCTAACAGATATCTGTTTTAACTCAAATATTTTTATGTAGTTATTTATTCTCCTTTTTATGACCCCTTTCCAATTAAAAGTAAGTCCCCTTTTTGCAGTTTTCCATATGAATTTTGAAGTTAACAAAAATTATGAATCGTTTCTATATAAAAAAAAACTTTACATAAAGAATTATAAAAACCACAATATTTGGATTTGAAACTAATGAATTTTACTAGTTTTGAATTCCAAGGATTTTCAATATGTTAGCCCAGAAGCTGATTCTCAAGGTACCATGATAATCATTGTTGTATGAAATATTGAATATATCAAAGTATGAATATCTCTTAAAGTTCAGTCTTGTTGATAACTATATACTTAATACACAAAGTGTTACTATGAATACCCTTACAAACGTGGTCATAGATTTTCTAAATATCTATAACCATTCTGCAACAAAGGGGAGATAAATGACTTTGATTCTGGGAATCTGGTCCATCAATGACTTGATTAACTTACCGCTCAAAGTACAATATAGAATTGTAAAATTTCTAGTCTTCAATGTGAAAAAGTACAATTTTCTTCCACAGTAAACAGTCTTTGCTTATCATTACCCTTGCTATGTAATGTTCCAATATAAATATATCCCCATTCAAACTGCTTGTGAACAGTAATCTGTTTCAAGTTCAACTTAAATATCCTTATGTAGTTTTTACGGCCCAATTCCTAATTAAAACTAAGCCCTCTTTCCTTTTTTAGGTCACCTGAGCTTTGCTCAAGTGACCTATTCCAATCGCTTTTCGTCCGTCGTCGTGCGTAAACTTTTACATTTTCAACTTCTTCTCAAGAACCAGTGGACGGATTTTTTTCAAACTTGGTCAGAATCATCCTTGGTAGATGAGGCTTCAAAATTGTAAAATTGGGATTCCTACCCCAACCCCTGGGGCCAGGGCGGGGCCCCAAAGGGAAAATTATCCAATATTTCAAAAATCTTCTTCTCCAGACTCAGAGGTACTACAGTGATTTTCTCTACGTGGAAAGAAAGATCATCAGGGGCTTTACTTAAATTGTAAATTTCAGGACCCCCGAGCTATCCGTTCTCCCTTGGGGAGGGGGTAAAGTTTACTATAGTTTATATAGGGAAATAACACTTTTGGGTATATTTTGACAACTTTCTGTAGGAAATTATTTTTACTTGGTGAGAATTATCCTTGGAGGTAGATGGTTTCAAATTGTAAAATTGAGATTCCTACCCCGACCCCTGGGGCCAGGGCGGGGCCCCAAAGGGAAAATTAATCAATATTTCAAAAATCTTCTTCTCCAGACTCAGAGGTACTACAGTGATTTTCTTTACGTGGAAAGAAAGATCATCAGGGGCTTTATTTAAATTGAAAAT